GTTAATCAATCTACTAATTTGTGGGTTGATACTGGGGCCAATGTACATGTTTGTGCTGACATCTCATTGTTTTCTTCTTATCAGGTCGCACGGGGTTCCACCGTCCTAATGGGGAATGGGTCACAAGCTTCTGTTCATGGTGTTGGCACGGTAGATCTGAAGTTTACTTCGGGAAAGATCGTGCAGCTGAAGAACGTGCAGCATGTCCCTTCTATCGACAGGAATCTTGTTAGTGGCTCCCGTCTGACTAGAGACGGATTTAAGTTGGTTTTTGAGTCTAATAAAGTAGTCGTGTCTAAACATGGATATTTTATTGGTAAAGGTTATGAGTGCGGAGGCCTGTTCCGCTTTTCCCTTTCTGATTTCTGCAATAAGTCTGTGAACCATATTTGTGGCAGTGTGGATGATGAGGCTAATGTTTGGCATTCACGTTTATGTCATATTAATTTTGGCTTGATGTCTCGGCTTTCCAGCATGTGTTTAATTCCTAAGTTTTCCATTGTCAAAGGTTCTAAGTGCCATAGTTGTGTGCAATCGAAGCAACCTCGCAAGCCTCACAAGGCTGCCGAGGAGAGAAACTTGGCACCACTAGAACTCCTACATTCAGATCTTTGTGAAATGAATGGGGTGTTGACGAAGGGTGGAAAACGATATTTCATGACATTCATTGATGATGCTACTAGATTTTGCTATGTGTACTTGTTGAAAACGAAAGACGAGGCTCTAGACTATTTTAAAATTTATAAGGCAGAAGTTGAAAATCAACTTGACAGAAAGATAAAAAGGCTTAGGTCTGATCGTGGTGGAGAGTTTTTCTCGAACGAGTTTGACTTATTCTGTGAGGAACATGGCATCATACATGAGAGGACGCCTCCCTATTCTCCCGAGTCTAATGGGATTGCTGAAAGGAAGAACCGCACACTGACTGACTTGGTGAATGCCATGTTGGACACCGCGGGACTGCCTAAGGCATGGTGGGGGGAGGCATTGTTGACCTCAAATCATGTGTTAAACAGAGTTCCTAATAGAAATAAGGACAAAACACCATATGAGATATGGATTGATAGAAAACCATCACTTTCTTATTTGCGCACATGGGGGTGCTTGGCGAAGGTCAATGTACCAATAACGAAGAAGCGCAAACTTGGACCTAAGACTGTGGACTGTGTTTTTCTGGGATATGCTTATCATAGCATTGCCTATAGATTTTTAATAGTTAAATCCGAGGTACCGGACATGCATGTTGGTACAATTATGGAGTCTCGTGATGCTACCTTCTTTGAGAGCTTTTTCCCAATGAAAGATACACATAGTGGTTCGAACCAACCCTCTGAAATAATTCCCAGTTCAATCACACCACCAGAACAAACTGAACATACACATGAACTTGTCTCTGAGGAGGATGTCAGTGAAGCTCCTCGAAGGAGTAAGAGACAAAGGACGGCTAAGTCTTTTGGTGATGATTTCACTGTGTACCTCGTGGATGACACTCCTAAGTCAATTTCAGAAGCATATGCATCTCCTGATGCAGACTACTGGAAGGAGGCTGTCCGTAGTGAAATGGATTCCATTATCGCTAACGGGACTTGGGAGGTGACAGAGCGACCCTATGGGTGTAAACCTGTGGGGTGCAAGTGGGTGTTCAAGAAGAAGCTTAGGCCTGATGGTACTATTGAAAAGTACAAGGCTCGGCTTGTTGCTAAGGGCTATACTCAGAAAGAAGGCGAAGATTTCTTTGACACTTACTCACCTGTTGCTAGATTGACCACAATTCGTGTGCTACTTTCCCTAGCAGCCTCACATGGTCTTCTCGTTCATCAAATGGACGTTAAGACAGCTTTTCTTAATGGAGAGCTGGATGAGGAGATCTATATGTATCAACCTGATGGGTTTGTAGTTGAAGGTCAAGAAGGCAAAGTGTGCAAATTATTGAAGTCTTTGTATGGTCTGAAACAAGCTCCTAAGCAATGGCATGAGAAATTTGACAAAACATTGACATCTGCAGGCTTTGCGGTCAATGAGGCAGATAAATGTGTGTACTATCGCCATGGTGGGGGTGAGGGAGTTATTTTGTGCTTGTATGTTGACGACATACTGATATTTGGAACAAACCTTGAGGTGATAAATGAGGTTAAATCATTCTTGTCTCAAAATTTTGATATGAAGGATTTGGGAGTAGCTGATGTTATCTTAAACATTAAGCTAATTAGAGGTGAGAATGGGATTACACTCTTGCAGTCCCATTATGTGGAGAAGATCTTGAATCGCTTTGGCTACATTGATAGTAAGCCTTCTCCAACACCTTATGATCCTAGCTTGTTGCTTCGCAAGAACAAGAGAATTGCTAGGAATCAACTGGAATACTCCCAAATCATTGGCTCGTTGATGTACCTGGCTAGTGCAACTAGGCCTGATATCTCCTTTGCTGTGAGCAAGTTGAGCCGATTTACCTCTAATCCGGGAGATGATCACTGGCGTGCGCTTGAGCGAGTAATGCGCTATCTGAAAGGTACTGTGGAATTGGGGCTTCACTATACTGGGTATCCTGCGGTACTGGAGGGTTATAGTGATTCTAACTGGATCTCTGATGTGGATGAGATCAAAGCCACTAGTGGATATGTTTTCACACTGGGTGGTGGTGCTGTTTCATGGAGGTCTTGCAAACAGACCATTTTGACGAGGTCAACCATGGAAGCAGAGCTAACGGCACTGGATACTGCTACTGTTGAGGCAGAATGGCTGCGTGATCTATTAATGGATCTGCCTGTTGTTGAAAAACCGGTGCCGGCTATCCTTATGAACTGTGACAATCAAACGGTAATTGTCAAAGTGAATAGTTCTAAGGATAATATGAAATCGTCTAGACATGTGAAAAGACGATTGAAGTCTGTCAGGAAATTAAGAAACTCCGGAGTTATAACGTTGGATTACATCCAAACAGCGAGAAACCTGGCAGATCCCTTCACGAAGGGACTATCACGAAATGTGATAAACAATGCATCGAAGGAGATGGGTTTGAGACCCATGTGAGTTATACTATGGTGGTAACCCAGTCTATGTGATCGGAGATCCCGTGAATTAGATCCTGGGAAGAACAAACCATTAGTAAACTAGAGGAGAGTATCAATATATATACCCTCTCCAAGTGAAGATACATGTACTCTCGTGAGCTGCAAGGCAGGTTGGCTATGCCTTAATGAGTTCTGTTGGCTTTAATTAGCGAAGATGTTGTCCTGCAGAGCATTCTTGAAAGAACTCACCTTTGTGAGCTTGACTGTTGGTCGTAGTCTATGAAGATTTTGGGTGAATCTTCTAGGAAGCTTACTAAAGACCTAGGAGTATGACTTATACGCTCCACCCGAGGGGTAGTCTACAGACGGTCTAGTACCAGATAAGACTTTGAGTGAAACTTGCTTGCACAAGACTTGCAATTCAAGGCGTAGTCCATTGTTCAAGTTGTGAGTAAGTGTAGCTTGGAGTTCTAGGTGGATGTTCAACCTTAATTGGTCCCCATCGAACCGCTGGTATATAAACAGTACATTGGAAAAGGCAAATCTCAGTGAGATTTTGAGATTTGGTGGGGGATTGTTGGAATTAATGAATGGGCCTTAGCCCACTCGAAGATTAATTCTTTGGAAAATCACAAAAGCCCACCTCATGGGATGGCATGCATGTGGAGTTTAGTACCACCTTGCTTATTCTAGGAGAGGGGGACCTCCTTAAAAGGGAGGATGTCCTCCTAGCCACTTGAAGCATGTGTGGTGGAGAGAAGAGGGGAAACACACGCGCGCGCTCGCTCGCCTCGCCTGGCCTGGCCTGGCAGGGCAGGGCAGGCGGCGCGCGTGCACGACGTACGCGTCGAATGGTCCGAAAAATTGGCTCCTCACCCTTGCGCAGATGCAGTCTCCTTTTGCAGTTTTGTTTTGCTGCAAATTCGGATTCGTTTTTGTTTTGGAAACGTTCCGAAAAATCCGGTGCGTGCAAACGACGTGGAGTCCGGATAAGTTACGCGCGACTTATCCGGTTCGGTTACGCGCAGTAGAGATCGTGCGGGCGCCCTGATCAAGCGACCCTTCTCTATATAAACCGACCCGCCGTCTTCACGCAGTATATGCGAAAATCAATCTAGGGTTTGCCTCCTACTCTGTACTGCGCCGTCGCTCGTACACTACTCCATCCCGCTCGCCGGCGTGCACCAGCGATCGGGAGAGCAGGTCTCCGGAACCTCTGCCTTTGACGTCCTGCACCGGGAGAAGGCGGCAATAAGGTTTTTGGGAAGCGCTTCGCGCGACTGCTCCCTGTTCGTTTGCGACGGCTCGCCTTCCTCTTCGCTCGCGTGTTTCGTGCCTTCGTAGACACCTGCGAAAAGTTTCGACCAAGCAGCCGGTCTTTTCGTCACCTCGGTACGTGTTCAATATGTTGCGCATATTTGATCTGTTCATGTTATACTGTGTAGTTTACATGTGTAGATCTAATGATGCGTTCATGCTAGTTTTCATCTGTAATGTCATGATTTATTTATGGAATAAATTAAATCATTATATGCCCATAATCTCAACAATGAATCATCGATCAATCTCACATTCTCACCTTGTTGGCCTTGCTCTTCTCAAGGTACTCGTCGAACACGCCGGCCCTGGCCTGCCCGGCCTTGCGCAGCGGCGGAGGCGGCGATCACGGCGGCGAGACCCAGCAGCGCGGCGCGCCTGCCGCCGCCCTGCTCAGCTTGGGCGGTGCCGCGACGTGCACGCGCTTCGGCAGCGCCGGCGAGCCGGCCGACTGCGGCACCGCCGCGGCGGGCTTGAGGCCGACAAGGCTGTTGTTCACTCCGGCCATGGCTCGATTGAGCTGCGTGCAAGCGTGCGTTTGTGCAAGAAGAAAAAGAGAAGAGAAGCAAAGAGAAGGAAGAAGAACAGTGTGCAGGGGCATTTTGGTAATTTCAACGCTCTTTCTCTCTCTGTTTCGACAACAAATAATAAAATAATACGACCGCTGTCCTCCAGCTAATTACCACATTTTTACGGTGTCCACGAGCAAATACACAATCTTCGAGTGTCCCACAGAAAAGACCACAATTTTTACGTGTCCTGTGGCAAATTTTACTAATTTGTAAAGGTATGTTACCGATGGAGGTGGTGCAGGTTTCTTTCTAGCAGCTAGCTTCTTTTTCTGCAAAATGAAAGGAGTTTAAGTTAAAATCGGCAAGAAGAGTTTTGGAAGAAATTAAGTTGTAGACTCATTGTTGGTATTTCTTACGACCACAGGTAAATCCGCAAGCGCACGGAATACCGCTATAGCACTTCACCTTCGGGTGACCCCAAAAGTATATCGAACTCAGGGAACGTGTGTAATCTACCTAAGGCTAAAACAATCCAAGGACAACAACTATAGGTAGGCTAGGCAGGCTAGAGAGGACTTTCTATGTGTTTTAATTATCTAAGCTAAGCAAAGGTAATTTCCTATCGGTTGCTTCAGGCACCGACCCCTACTGGTCTGCCAGTGTGGTTCCGGCTATAGCTCCATGATGTATCCGAACGTGGAGGATTACTAGGACGAGATTCAGGGCTGTCACCACCTGCCGCCTACCTCTGACAAATCCGTGGGATACACAACAAACAAAGGTAATCTCTAACCTAGAAACCACGTCTAAATTATTAATTACTACTCTAATACTTGTACAGGAACTTCCTTCTTTATCCAGAGTCATAGTACTAGAGCACTTAATATGAATACTAAACAATGAACCCGCAAAGATGAAAATATATCTTACTCAGACTAAATAATTAAATAACATAAGAAAGGAACAGCTTACCTAATAGAAGAAGGTTCTCCGAACCCGGAGCAGAGTGTACCGACAGCTCCGGTACTCCTCCAGAATTCCTCCTAGGAAGCTACACTCGTCGAGAAAGAAGTCGGAGAGAGCGCCAAACCTTCCGGGCACCCCTCCAGAGCTTTCCCTCACTTTCTACCTTATTCTAATGTACAAAAGATACAATAGAGCCTCTTGTAATTCAGCTCAAAGTTGTGTGTTGTGAAGTGTGAAGGAGAGCTCTATTTATAGCCTCCATATGACAGTTACAGCTATGGGAATTGTCCAAAACACCCTCAACCGTCATTGGGAAGGCATCAGCAACGTACACGTGGAGGGCCAGGATGAGGGGTGCCTGTGGATAATCAGATAAGATTATTTATGATATGATGATCACTTCAATATCTGTTCCTAATTTACTACTACATCTACATGCAAGCTTTGCTCCTAATTTACTACTTCTACAAGTGGTTTAGATTTAACACCTCTGTATGTTATTATCTTTGTTACCCTTACATTACTTCCTTAAACCATTAACATCTGAATTCTCTTATGTTCAATATATGTTCCTAATTTACTACTGCGTCTCTTATGTTCAGTATCTGTTCCTAAATTACTATTACATCTACATGTAATATTTCTTACTAATAATGTAATTAAATTATTTTTGGTACACTTCCATTGCTTCCTAAAACCATCATGACATCTAGGAGTCTCTTCAGTATGTGGAATTTCTGTATTTGTGTGTGGACCGTGTACTCCATAATTAATATAGATTTATCTGTATTCTAGCTTCTGTCTTGATTCATTTGCTCATAGGCCTATCTTCTTTTGGTATGTACAGATGCAGATCTTTGTGAAGACACTCACTGGCAATACCATAAGGTTGAGTCCTCTGACACGATTGACAATGTCAAGGCCAAGATTCAGGACAAGGAGGGTATTCCACCTGACCAGCAGCGCCTCATCTTTGCGGGCAAGCAACTTGAGGACGGACGCACCCTCGCAGATTACAACATTCAGAAAGAGTCCACCCTCCACCTTGTCCTTCGCCTCAGGGGAGGAATGCAGATCTTTGTGAAGACCTTGACAAGAAAGACCCATCACTTTGGAGGTTGAGTCCTCAGACACGATTGACAACGTGAAGGCAAAGATCCAGGATAAGGAGTGTATCCCCCCCTGACCAGCAGCGTCTTTATCTTTGCTGGCAAGCAGCTTGAGGATGGTCGGACCTTGGCGGACTACAACATTTAGAAAGAGTCCACTCTTCACCTTGTGCTTAGGTTGAGGGGAGGCATGCAGATTTTTGTCAAGACCCTGACCGGAAAGACCATTACGCTTGAGGTCGAGTCTTCTGATACAATCAACAATGAGAAGGCGAAGATTTAGGACAAGGAGGGCATCCCCCCGGACCAGCAGCGCCTCATCTTCGCCGGCAAGCAGCTCAAGGACGGACGCACCCTGGCTGACTACAATATCCAGAAGGAGTCTACCCTTCACCTAGTGCTCAGGCTCAGGGGTGGAATGCAAATCTTTGTCAAGACATTGACCGGCAAAACCATTACCTTGGAGGTTGAGTCGTCGGACACAATTGACAACGTGAAAGCAAAGATTCAGGACAAGGAGGGCATTCCCCCGGATCAGCAGCGACTGATCTTTGCTGGCAAGCAGCTCGAGGATGGCCGCACCTTAGCAGGTTACAACATCCAGAAGGAGTCCACCTTGCACCTGGCGCTCCGTCTCCGTGGTGGCCTGTAAGTTCTCGGCAGATTTGGTTCACATGTTCGCTGCGCCTGGTGGTCTCTACTAATGAAGTTGTAGTTCAAGTTCTCATTTTCATTTGTGTGTTACTATGTCATCTTGTCCCCAAATGGAAAAAGTACGTTTTACCCCCCCCCCCGAACTATTGTGGTAGTACGATTTACCCCCCTAAACTACAATACCGGACATTTGACACCTCTAAACTCTTAAAACCGGATAAATTACCACCCTAACTCGATGCGAAGCGGTTTTCAGCCTACGTGGCGATACAGTCAGAAAAAAAAAACAAATAAAAACAGGTGGGGCCCACTTGTCAGCCCAATTTTCTTTTTCTCTCCTCTCCCTCTCTCTCTCTCTCTCTCGGTGGGCAGAGAGAGGCCGTGGAGGCGAGTCCGGCGGCGAGCGGCGAGCAGCGGGCGGGGGTGGAGGTGGCTAGTAGCGGCGCGCGGGGTCGGAGGCGGCTGGGGGCGGCGGGCGCGGAGGCGAGGCCGCGGCTGGGTGGCGCGGAGGCGAGGCCGGAGGTGGGCAGGGGCGGAGGCAGCTGCGGGCGGCGAGCGAGGCGCGGAGGCTGGCGGCGGGGGGCGGGCGGCAGGCGGGGGCAGAGGCGGCTAGGGGCGGCGCGCGGGTCGGAGGCGGCTGGGGGCGGCGGGCGCAGAGGCGAGGCCAGCGGCGGTCGTCGAGGCCGCGGCTGGGGGGCGCGGAGGCGAGGCCGGAGGTGGGCGGGGGCGGAGGCGGCTGCGGGCGGCGGGCGAGGCGCGGAGGCCGGCGGCGGGCGGGGGCGGAGGCGGCTGCGGGCGGCGGGCGAGGCGCGGAGGCCAGCGGCAGGCGGGGGCGGAGGCGCCGTCGACCTCCCCATCAAGGCCTTCACCCGCGTCCGCGCCGTCTGCACTGCCTGGCGGGGGCGGAGGCGCCGTCGACCTCCCCATCAAGGCCTTCACCCGTGTCCGCGCCGTCTGCACCGCCTGGCGGGTGCGGAGGCGCCGTCGACCTCCCCATCAAGGCCTTCACCCGCGTCCGCGATGTCTGCACCGCCTGGCGGCTGCACCGCCTGGCACGCCGCCATCCCGGCGGACTCGCCGTCGCTCCTCGTCCGCCTCGACTGGAACCTGACAGGAGCAGCTGCCTCGGCTCCGGCCACGGTTGGGTCGCCGTTGGGGAGGTGGGGATGGTGCGGTGGAGATTGGGGGAGGGGACGGCGACACGTAGAGGAGGGGGTCGATGACGGCGGCGGGCGAGGTCGGAGGCCGCGCGGTCGACGCGCTCCGCCTCCGCCTCCACCGTCAGTCGCTCGAGCTCGCCGCCTCCACCGCGACCACCTGAGCTCGCTCCACCGCCTGCTCTGCCGCTGCCGGTGGCTTCCCAAGCTCGCTCCGCCTCCACCGCCGCTCGAGCTCGCTCCGCCTTGCCGCCCGCACGAACGAGGTCCACCTCCGTCGCCGGCTGGGCCAGCTGAGAGAGAACTTCCGTCGCCAGCCAGAGCGCGCGCGCGTGCAAGGGGACTTGGAGGGATACGTATGACATGTGGGCCCAGAGAATATTTTTTATTTTCTTTGCTGACTGTATTGCCATGTTGGCACCACGTGTACAAATTCAAGTAAACCGCTAACAGTACTTAGGGGGGTTATTTGTCCGGTATGAATACTTGAGGGTGTAAAATATCTGGTTTTGTTGTTTAGGGGGTAATTTGATCGACTGCGATAGTTCGTAGGGGTAAAACGTACTTTTTCCTCCCCAAATCGCCAACCGTGTGTGCAAACATTTGCTGCGCAGCAGCTTGATTTCAGTTATATATGAAGTTAGCAAATCTCTGTGAGCTTATTTCGATGATATATCTGTTCCTGTACTCGTTTTTTTTTACCCTGATATATATAGCTACCATAACAAAAGAGCACCGAATTGGAGTTGCAAACAAAATATTGATAATATACCTGCTCAAGGCATGTATAACCAATAAAGGAAACAATTCATAAGGCAAAACTCTACCAACTACTCTTGCACTCACCAAGAGCGATGCGTTATGAGCATCCTCAGTCCTCGCCATATGAATTGCGAAACTAATGCAAATATTCGGAATAGGGTTTAATGCAGGATTTATGAACAGCCGTACCTTCTATTTTTTCGCTTGAACGCCAAAGCAATTTTTTTTTTGTGGAACCAAGTATAAGTGATTTGAATAATTATACAATCTTTTTACTTTGAAGTAGCTAACTTTATATTTGTTGTACTTTAGATCATCCCCGACTATTTTCACTAGCCATGTCCATCATATATTTTGTTAAACGTATGGTCTGTTCGTAGGTGAAGGATTTTGCCAGTGTACCAGAGCTGACATCCTCAAAGTTGTTGATGTGCTAAAGAATGGACATATATTCCGGTAAAGGTTTGCTTGGTCCATAATCGGGCAGAACCACCACACATCTAGACCAATCTAACGAGGACAGAGGATAGAAAACGGGCGATACCAGCAGGGGACCACCTATACATTTGTCGACAAATTTTCTCCTAAAAATTTAACATATGTAATTATAGTTATGTAATTATAGTTTAATCGTAGTGTAATTACACTCTAACTTATATGTAATTATACTGTAATGTAAGTTTCACTTAATTTTGAATCGTTATATCTGTTACAATATTAACATATGTGAAAGAATTTGTTCTCACGATCTTCATTTTACCGAAATAATATGTTACGGGGAGTTTTTGAAAGTTACATACAAGTTATATTATAGTTACAGTGTAATTACATGTAAGTTACAGTGTAATCACACTATAATTGTACTGTAATTACATCTGTCGATAAATATATAGCAAAATTGATATCTAATCCACGAGAGATCACTTGTTGGGTGGGAACACCGTGAAGTATGTCTGTGTAGCGGCTAGAGCGATGACGAATGTGGCGACGGCAACGGAGATGGCCGACCACGGGCTGGGAAAATAATTGCGCCGGAGCCCAGCCATGTGGCTGTGCCACCATGTCCCACAGTAGCGCGTCACGTCGTCGTACAGTCCGGAGAAGGCCTGCGAGTCGTAGCCCGCCGGGTGGCAGTCGTCGAGGCGGTTGAAGAACCGGGCCGCCTCCTCGTCGTTGTCCAACAGGTTCACCACGACGCCGCGCCGGCGGAGCAGCTCCACGTCGCGTGCTGTCACGATGAGCTGGCTCATCAGTGCCACGTAGCTGCTCAGGAGCCCCTCCTCCTCGCCGCGCTGGCTCTGCTCGAACGCGAGCAGGTTCGCGAGCAGCGGCCGCCTCGCGTCGTCGATCAGGACTGTGGGTATCTCCATTACGCCCCAGCGGGCGTCGAACGCCACGTCGTACCTCGTCCCCCCTGCGGCGGCCGCTGGGCTCTGCGCGGCGACGAACTGTACCCCCGCCTCTCTCATCTCGGTTGCGCATGGTATCACCCGTGGCGTCCTGGTGATCGTCCGTCGGTCAGACCGTGGGCCTCGGCGGCTTCGCGGCGGTGTTCGGTTGGGAATGAAGCTCTGGTAGTACAGATGGAGGAGGTGGTGGACCTCCCAGTCGCCGGAAGGCCATCTCATTGGCTCTTCGTCCTCACTGCCGAGGTACTTGACGAAAAGGTGAAGGAGGGACTCCCTGCCGTGCTGGGCGCCGCCGCCGGTGACTGCGCCATAGAGCCTCTCGAGGACGAAGAACGGGATCTGGTTCTCCATGAGGAGCAGGTCGGCGGCCGCGGGGACAAGCGTGAGGCCCCTTCCAGCGTCGCAGAGCGCGTCGGGCTCCTTGGCGTGCCACTTTAAGAGGAACTCGAGGATGAAGCAGCCATCGAGCAGGAGCATCACGATGAAGTCGTCGGAGGCGAGGCCGGCGGGGCGCTCGCTGTAGCAGGCGCGCGCCTGGGCCTCCAGGGTTCTCATCTCTGCGACCAAAGTGGACGCGCTGACCGCCGCGACACTGCCGTCGCCGGCGTGGCGGGACAGCAGGCCCTGTAGGTAGTGCCACTTGTGGTCCTCCATGGTGCGCAGTGCGGCGCCGCCGTGGTAATAGGGGCCGATGGACACCACGCGCGGCTCGTACGAGGTGCGATTGCTCTCGCGGACGTTGGCGGGAACGCGGAAGATGGTAAATGGCTGCCGCGCCCTCCATTGATCTCCTCTGAGGGCATCCAACGTTGCCTCCACCGAAGATTCCAACGACGCCACATCCATGAGATCGATAGCAAAACGAGAGAAGTGATGGTAGGAAGAAGACACGCATGCAACTTGCAAATGCTCCCGTAATAAACTGATAATACACTACAGTACTACAACATCATGAATGGTCATCATCGAAGCGCGTCGTCGTTGACATTTTTGTTTTAATCCAACGAGCAGAAATGAACGACCGCCAACGCGTTGATTCGTTGACATTTAGGTGAGCGTCGCTTTCCTGTAACTTCCTGTTAGGTACGCGCGCGAACATCTTATTTATGTTTTATAAATTTAACTAAAGATATCATAATTAGGTTTTATAATTCCAACCGATCCATCACATATTCACATGCTCGGGGCACTGAGAGCAAGTTTAATAGTATAGCCAACTACTAGCTCCAATTCATCCATAGCCAATCTAATAGCTCATATATATAATAGTTACATACTATATTATTAATATCTGGTCCCACCTGTCATATACACGTTACATCTTGGAGACCGTGCTACAGCTGGCTACAAATCTGTAGCCCGCTGCCCTTCTCTCTCATTATTTATCTCCTTAAAATATATTTGCAGCTGACTTATAGCCTGCTATTGTACCTGCTTTGAGGGGTTCACCATGGTCAAAGCAAAAGTGGCGCGAAGGGACTCAAGTACTACCCCGAGTTAAGGAAGTGACGCAACGTCAGTATGAGTTTGGGATTGCGACTGCCGCTGCAGCTAGGCCAGGGGCTCGAAATTTATGATTTGACCCAGTCCTGTGTAACTTTACCCTACTATGATTTTATATTAATTGCGGCGTGATATGGTTTCTATGGATGGATCAGGCTCCCTTTGGCTGTGTTTGGCTGTGTGGTGTGGCGCATTTTCCATCCACATCTGAGAGGCTCCCTTTGGCCGTGTTACATCAAAATTGAAAGTTTGGTTGAAATTAGAACGATGTGATGGAAAAGTTAAAAGTTTATGTATGTAGGAAAGTTTTGATGTGATGGAAAAATTGGAAGTTTGAAGAATTATTTTGGAACTAAACACGGTGTTTATCGGTTTTGGAGGTTGACCGTTGGGTCCATCGACAGTTTGGGACGAAGACTTCAGCTACCCTACTCCACATGTCAGTTGATAGGTGAATCCGTCACATCCGACTTGCTAGCTTAGTGGAACATCGACAAGACCTATCTTATAAGTTGGCCCCCACCTTTGTATGTATGCATGGGTACTATGGACGTACTCCTATTAGCATATCTTATATCCTATAACCTATATATCGGGAAAATATGTATATATCTATACGAGTGATCCATCTAAACTTTTCGTACCGCCCGGTACCTACTATCTAGACCATCCATCACGCTAAATCCAACGGGTGACAATGCTCAGTACTGCCAGGTACCAAAATCCCCTCAATGGTACCTCCCCTTCGTATGCACGCGTTAAACAAGTGGAAGGGCAAAATTGGGTTTTCGCATGGTCTATTCTCCCTGAGTCCAAGCCGCTCCTCCCTGACGCCTATGCCTGCGAGCCGTTTCTCCCGATCCCCTCCCCTTGAGGCGCCTCCTCTGCATCTGTCCTCCATGCGCGGCCAAGCTCGCCGGCCATCCGAGCTAGCTGGACACCTCCGCCACCATCCCTGCCCCATCCTAACTCAACTCCCCTGTCAGGATTGAGAGGAATTCTGAGATTTCAGAAATATTCTAAGTCTGAAAACCTGAAGATGCAGTTTGAAGTCTGAAGATGATGTGCGAACGGGAGGAAGCAGAGTTATGAAGATCCAACGGTCTGCAGTGATTCCGAAGAGGTATCGCAGGATCCTAACCATTCACATGTTGTCGGGGACCACTGTAGTGGTAAATTGTTGTTTTCTCTGAATTGGTGTGTGTGTGTTCAGTGGCAAAGACCACTTTGGAATCCTTATGTACTCCTATTAAAACTATTGGCTTGTGGCCAGGAGGGAGATAAGAAAAACCTCATTATCATTTGTTCTTAGGAGTAGGGTAAAGTAGATCTGGGAGAAACGAGTTCTTGCGGCGACCACCTATTTTCTTCCCGATTTACTCTGTTTCGAGCGAACAAAGGAGAGAGAGAGGCGTCCATTTCCAGGTGTTTTCAGCTCTGATCCTGACAAAGGTATCAGAGCAAGGTTCAATCCTTGGCTCTGGAATCCATCGGGTGAGGGTTGGTGGAAGGCGGCGGCGAGATCCATTGTAAAATCCCTAAGCCTTGGTGGATTTTATCCGGTAGCGGAAGGAAAACACAGATTACTGGAGCGAGGGTTTGTGAACCACCTTTCGGTGTGTTCCTGTAAAATCTCCGGAGCTCGTGATCTGGGTTAGGCGGCGGTAGACAGTTCTACTTAGGCACAAAGGGGAGGGAGTCAGATCCTAAACCGACCTAAGCAGTGGTGTGAATGGTGACTACTAGGTACGGAGGAGCTCAACGAATTCCGGGTTGATATGGCGGCACTGAAGAAGGAGGTGGCCGATCTCAAAGGTCTGAAGGGGGAAGTAAAAGAGATTAAAGGATTGTTACTGGAATTGTGCAAGAGAAAAGAGGCTGAAGAAGAAGAAGAAGCGGCTGCTACTGCAAAGGCAAGCAAGGCAGTAGCTTCGCAAGGAGGAGGAGACGCGGCTGGGACAAGTTCTCAGGCGCAAGGTAACCCACCTGTGACTGAATCCCAATTCCATATTGAAGCTAATACTGTGAACCCCTCGATGCCTATGAATATGCATTCAGTTGCACCTACGATGCCTATGATGACAGTACAAGGGCATCCCACACAGCCAGGGCATGAGAATCAGTTTGCTGCTAATCGAACCAATGAGATGTTTACCTCCTCTATAGTAACTGCTACTCGACCACAGCTCGCATTTGAAATACCCGGGGGCACATTCCAGCTTTTCAGCCTAATGGGAATAGGGTTGGTGGACATGCAGACTTTGTCCAAAATCGTGCAGGAGTGAGGATGTTGGACCAACAGAGGAACATTTATCTGGGTCAGGCAGGAGAAGGGAATCAGTACGCTGAGGCTGTCCTCAAGGGGCCAAGATTAGAAATCCCTCTGTTCAGTGGAGAAGATCCAATAGATTGGCTTAAGCAGTGTGAGAAGTTTTTTGAGATTACGGGTACCCCTCTGGATCAATGGGTGAATTTAGCGGTGGCTCATTTGAATGGCAGGGCATTGAAATGGTTCGGAGGAATTGGTCTGCCATGGCAAGTGATAGCTTGGCCACAATGGTGCAGCATGGTCTGTACTCGATTTTCTGCTGCGAGTGAACATGAGGCAATTGAGTTGTTCCAAAATGTGAAACAATTTGGAACAACAGTGGAGCAATATATTGACAAGTTTGAGGATTATGTGGATTTAGTAAAGAGAGACCACCCTTATCTCCAGGAGCAATATCTGACCAGCTGTTTCATTGGGGGATTGAGAGCAGATATTAAATACGATGTGTGTGGTCAGAAACCTCAAGGCTTGCTTGAAACTTACTGGTATGCAAAAAAATTATGAAAGGGCTGCTAATGCCAGAAAAATGGTGGGAAATTTCAACCGAAACAGGAATCAGAATCCACTTGGAGGTAATCAGGGGCGGAATGCTAACCATAGGGGACAAAACAGAGGTGAGGGAGATAGGAGAGAGGAAAAGAAGTGCTGGTTCTGTAAAGAACCTTGGTTTCCAAGGCACCAGTGTAAGATTAAACAAGCAATTCACGCTTTGTTAGAAGAAGATGATGGGCAAGAAGATAAAGAAACAAGTAATACTGGGGGTGATGAGGAAGAGAAGAAAGAAACTGAAGAATCTGCAACTTCAGAAAATGAGTCCCCAACCGAAGAGTTGATGTACATTTCTCAAACTGCAGTACAGGGTACATCCAGGCCAGATACATTCTCAGTATTAATCAAAATCAATGGCCGGACAGCTGTAGGGTTGGTTGATAGTGGGAGTACCACCACATTCATGGATCAGGATTATGCCCTTAGGAATTACTATCCCTTGAAAAATACTGACACAAAGAAAGTAGTAGTTGCTGGTGGTGGAGAACTTAAGACTGATGTCATGGTGCCAGACATCAGCTATGAGATTCAAGGAGAATGCTTTACTAACCAATTTAAGTTGCTTCCTCTCAAGGGATATGATATTATCTTGGGTGCTGATTGGATCTATAATTATAGTCCCATTTCGCTGGATTTGAAGCAAAGAATTTTGGGAATTACAAAGGGAAACAAAGTAATACTCTTACAAGATTTCACTAAACCAAATAAGCACTTTCAGATCAGTGGTAAAAGATTGGAGAAAATGTTAAAGAAGGGGGCTCTTGGTATGGTGATACAAGTCAATGTCATGTCTGAAACTGTGGAGGAAGAAGGGCATGTTATACCTGAAGACATTAGTGACATTATACAACAATTTCCAGCTGTGCTTAAAGAACCAAAGGGGCTACCACCTAAGCGAGAATGTGACCATGTGATTAATTTACAGAGTGGGGCTGTACCACCTAACATCAGGCCATACAGAGTGCCACATTATCAGAAGGAAGCGATGGAAAATATTATCAATGAGCTGATTGAATCTAAGGAGATTCAAACTAGTGATAGTCCCTATTCATCTCCTGCTGTGATGGTTCGCAAGAAAGATGGATCTTGGAGGATGTGTGTCGATTACCGACAATTGAATGCACAGACTGTTAAGAACAAATTCCCAATGCCAATCATTGAAGACTTGTTAGATGAATTAAATGGAGCAAGGATATTCTCTAAACTAGACCTTCGGTCAGGGTATCACCAAATTAGGATGGCTGAGAAGGATGTTCATAAAACAGCATTTAGAACACATCTTGGGCATTATGAATATCAAGTAATGCCATTCGGTTTGACAAATGACCCTGCCACTTTCCAGTCACTTATGAATCATGTCCTAGCACCATTCTTAAGAAGATTTGTGTTGGTGTTTTTCGATGACATATTAATCTATAGCAAAACAAGGGCAGAGCATCTGGAGCATGTGAAGTTAGTAATGCAAGCTTTGCAAGACAACCATCTTGTAATCAAGCTTAAAAAGTGTGCTTTTGGACTTGCAAGTGTGTCTTACCTA